ATGTGGAAGCCACCTGTAGTTACATCAGCTAGAACAGAATGGGCATTTTTAGCCTATGTGCCATGAAAGTGATCTTTAAAATGAACACTAAACAAGTGCTGGGCAGATATCACAGCCTAGATGTAAAACCACAATCAAACTTGCCAGCTGTTGCTCAAAAACTTCAACAGGTCAATAAGAGACAAAAACTGTTACAATAAAATATAGAACAGTTGAGAACCCAACTCCACAGCTGGCAGTACCAGGCAAGGTATCACTTCAACTCCTTGACTGTTTACCTATAACAAATATGTTTAGATCCAGAGGGTTAGTTTCAAATAAGGGTCAAACATGACGCATGGATGGATTATATCAGCTACAAAAGTGTTGCTTGCCAATGGATATAGAAAGATACCTATCAATGATGTCTTCTAGCTAGCCTCATATTTCATAAACCAGACATGCCTCATATTTTATAAACCATACATGCCTCATATTTCATAAATTCGACATGCCTCATATTTCATAAATTCGACATGCCTCATATTTCATAAATCTGACATGTCTCATATTTCATAAATCACACGTAGTGGTCAAACAAAAAATGTGACCAATAATTAATGTAAAATAACAACCAATAGAAAAGTACAAAAACACTGACCAATAGAAGTGCATTATAAATCCTAATATCAAAGCTGGTCTCTATGGGGGGGAACTGTTTGGAGCTGAGCAGTATGTGGTACCAACAGCTACTACAAAAACACTGACCAATAGAAGTGCATTATAAATCCTAATATCAAAGCTGGTCTCTATGGGGGGAACTGTTTGGAGCTGAGCAGTATGTGGCACCAACAGCTACTTGTCCAGTAGTCGCTACACCACAGCTTTCCAAACTGTCACGTGACACAAGTGTGTTGGCTGCAGTGTGAAGGTATGTCGCCGCCCCAATGGAAAACAAACACTATAACTGATGCATGTGTTTGTATCATTGGTGAGGGGTTAGCTTGACAACAAGTTAATTCTAGGCAGAATTATTCTGTTTGTCTAAAAAGTATCAGCAATATGACAAATTTGAAAAGCTCTCTACCACACGCTCTATGGTGGTATTTGAAAAACAAAATTTGACAAGTTTGAAAAGCTATGCATCACACGCTCTATGGTGGTATTTAAGAATAAACAATGACAAGTTTGAAAAGCTTTGCATCACACGCTCTTTGGTGGTATTTAAGAATAAACAATGACAAGTTTGAAAAGCTTTGCATCACACGCTCTTTGGTGGTATTTAAGAATAAACAATGACAAGTTTGAAAAGCTATGCATCACACGCTCTATGGTGGTAATTAAGAACAAAATATGACAAGTTTTTAAAACTCTGCACCACGAGCTGTATGGTGGTATTTAAGAATAAACAACACCAAGTTTGAAAAGCTCTGCACTACACACTCTATAGTGGTATTTAAGAAAAAAATATGACAAGTTTGAAAAGCTCTGTACCACACTATGGTGGTATTTAAGAACAAAATACAAGTTTAAAAAGCTTTGAATAACACACACTATGGTGGTATTTCACAACAAAATGTGACAAGTTTTAAAAGCTCACAGTGTTATTTTGAAAACTGTGGCCATGTTGTTCAATGTGTTTACCTCATCTGTTTATTCTCTGTTTGTTTCATGTGTTTACCTCATCTGTTTATTCTCATGCTGTTTTACATCTCTTTAAGTGGAAGCTTTTGTCTGGATTTACCTCACAATGTTGCTAAATGTGTTTTACCATAAGTTGCCACTTTGTGTTCACAAGTTTGATAATTTCACATCTGCCTAATGCTCTTATCTCAGACGGCTAATTCAGTGCATCAGATAACTTATCTTTTTTGGCAGCCTAGAGATGCCTAGCCCATGTGTTTCCTTGATGTCTTTAGTTGACATTTTTCTTGCACTTTAACTCCAAAATGGCTGGGGCATACTGAGAGAATGTCAAATGAGAGAGAGAGAGGTAAAAACTATACAAGTGAGCTGAATGATCGCAAACCATGAGGCAGACCAAGAAGATGATGGAAAATCAATATTCTAACAGACCTACAAACACTTAATGTTACAAGCTGGAAAGAGAAGGCCAACAAGAGAGATGAGTGGAGGCAGGTGATATCTGCAGCAATGAACCTCAAGGACTCGGAATCCTGAACAAGAAATTCAAAGCAAAAACAACAATGTAACTGATGCTCTTCGAACATAAGTCGGCACAGATTTACCCCAAATAAACATGAAATTACATCAAACATGAAAACATCATATGATAACTAAATGCAAGAACAAGATGTGTTGTTTGAACCCACCCTCTGACTCATGCAGAGAAAGACTGCACTTACAAATTATTAGGGGAATCGCTGTGGTGAAGCGGCTAGACACTCACCGCAGATCGGAAGGTGGGTTCGCTCCCTGGCAGAGCCGGACTAAAAAAAACAATGACCTTGGCTCCTAGGTCGACCCAGCCTTGAGTGGGTACCGGATGCAGTCCTGGGAAGTAAGGCGGACGGTGTGATGCTGACCTCATCACCCATCTTGTGCCGATTGATCTATAAAATATAGGTCTAGTCCTATATGCCCTATACGCCTAAAGGCGTGGAGGAAGGTCTTTAAAAAAAATTAGCTCCTTATGCAGTGACACTAAATATAATTATAATACAATTATAAATATAATTATAATACAAATATAACAATTAAGTGAACAAGTATATATAAAAAAGCAATATCGACCAGCTAACACACTGTCTACCAGAGAAACATGACAACATGCAGCATCTCATCACATGATAACTATTTGCAAGAATACAAATCAATATCTAACTCATCATCCACTTGTGCCTGTATATTTCAAATTCCATTCTGCCCTGTGCTTTCATTTTGATTTAATTGATATCTGAATCCATCACCTTTAGCCTCTTTAAACATCCATCCTAAGGTTTCTCTTGCACATCCATTAATGCCTAACTCACAGGCATATTAAAAAACATATATATTCTTCAGCCACTTATGAACTTCTGCTGGAAGAGACAGACCACTTAGGAGTTGTCGCTTGTGCAGTGAAACTGGTTATAATACAATTATTAGCTACTATACATTCACAGTTGTGGAATAATGAGACAAAATGGGGCAATAAAAATGACCGAGAAAGAAAACAGAATAAACAGTATATCCTTAACAACTTTTTTGTCACCATTTGTACTTGTGTCACATTTGCTTCTGCAGAGATATTTGTGCACTATGAGGAACAGAAAAATACTTTGCCTAAGTAATCACATTATATTACATAATTTCTGTTTTTATTCTAGCCTTACAAATCTTGTGTTACATCACGCAGCTAAATCCATGTCCATCACTGGTTCAGATTTTCTTTCTGTGTTTTAGATTTCCCTTTTTCTTTTGCCCTGTGAATATTAGCGAAAGGACATTCCAGTTCATCTACTACCAGTCTCTCTCAGTGTCCCTCTCATTCATTTCCATAGTCTGGACCAGACATCTAGATTGACCAACATTTGTTGTCTCCCTAAAATCTACATACATCAATGATTCATTCAAACCACTGCTGTTCCAGGCAGGCACCAGGGAATGAATGTGTGTAGGTTAAAAGGGGCTGGCTTTCTGTCTGGTTGTTCCCACCACTTTGCTTGTAGTGGATGTGCAAATGATGCAGGAATGTCCCTTATACAACCCATTGAAAAGGAAATGTTGGCTTAATTAGTCCTGGCCATACTGAATGTTGTATGGAGCTAATGAATACCCAGCAGTTGTCAACTTGATCACTGCTGGTGTAAGCAGCGATAAGATCATGAGGAGGTGGGGGCGAAGGGGGGGATGCCCATAAATGTTGACCTTTGACAAGGAGGAAATGTTAAGGGAATTAAACTAGACAGACAACCCCTTGTATTAATTAATTAGCACCCATTTTCTGCTATTAAGTTTATTTTTTAAAATGAAATGTCCTTTATTAAAGGACAGGAGATCAGCATTTCAATCTGACATGTGCAAGCATTTCCAATGACAGATATATTCTACCCCACTTGTTCCACATTTTATAAAGACCTTAAGATATTTTGTAAATATAAACTTGCAATAACATACAAACACTCAAAAAGTGAGATAGTAATTCTACAGTAAACATGAGCAAAAGCCCATACTTTTACCAGTGCTTCGAAAAAACAAAAAGCATTGGATCAATTTATATTTTCAAAAGAATTTTCGCAGATACACATATAGAGATATTAAATTATTATAAAAGTAAGTAATTTGATGCAGATTTGAATCTGTACAGGGAAATGGGGGAAAACACACACATCCAAGATTATAATTATTATTATGCTAGTTGTAGTTTCTTGTCGATCTTCACAATTCTGTTATATCCTCCTCAATCAATGAATGTTTCTTTTGTAATTAGATCCAAGCTACAGGTTACAAGCTGACAGGGAAAACAATAATCCTCATCATTCAGTCAACACAATCATCAAATCTTGTCTACAAGTCACAAGACAAGTGGACATGGAAGGCAATATCCTCCTTTCATTCAGTGAATTATTCCCATGTTAATATCAGATTTAGTTAACAGGCTACAAGATATGCTGACAAGGAACACAATGTCATCTCTTTCAGTGAAGGATTCCTTTTTTGTCAGATCCTGTCTTCAAGCCGACAAGGAACACAATGTCATCCTCACTCAGGGAAGGATTCCTTACTTGTCAGATCCCGTCTACAAGCTGATGGGGAACACAATGATTCAGTAAATAAACTCCCACACTGAAATCAGATCCGGTCAACTGGCTACAAAAAAAGTTGACAGAGAACACAATATCCTCCTGACTCAGTGAATGATTAATTATCTGTCAGATCCATTTTACAGGCTACAGAAAAAAAAAAAGCTGGCAGAGAACACAATATCCTCGTCACACAGCGACGGATTCATCAACTGCGGGCAGATGGCTACAAGATTAAGTTACAACAGGCAGTCAAACCATTTTGGCAGCACACGATCAATCAAAACTGCCGAAGCTGCCAAAACTTCCAACGCTACCAAAACTACCACAAGAGCTAAGAGAGCTCCAGCTTCCCCACCGGCCGACACCCCAGCCTCCTCCTAACATCCGGGATGCTCCATATCCTAGCAGAGCGCCACCAGCAAGACCTGAGGACCAAAAAAAAAAAGAAACCAATTAGAGGTACAGTATTTAGTCAGTGCTCGTCTACCTTGGAGGTGTAGAGCTCTGCCAGAGTGCTCGAGAGATTTCTCTATCTGCAGTTTTCTTTTTGGCTTTTTTCGATTCCAGTCCTCAGTCAGGGACTGTTGGATGTTGTCTTCCCAGCGGACCCTCGATCGCCCTGGTGGTTCCCTGGCTCTTGCACCTCCTATGGTGACTGATTTGCTCCCACCCATTCTGCATACATGTCCAAACCATCAAAACTGTCTGACCCACTTGAGTTTGCATGGTGGTTTTAAGATCCTGACGTATTGTCTGATTGCGGACTTGGTCAATTCTTGTCACTTGGACCACCTTTCTCAGATATCTCATTTCTGAGGGGAAACAGTCATCAATGACATTCATTGTTTCGGTGGGACACAGGGCTGGCAGCTGGGAAATTATGTTTCTGCATTTATTCCCAGCTGCATCTGTTAAATATAGAACAAAAATATTACCTTTTCTTCCGTCACCATTAAGGAAGCTGGCTGCAGTAGATATGTGCATCTACTGCTATCTTTGTGAATATGATGCAGTGATGTCTCAATCTCCACTAAAGTGCAACTCTGATACATCTGTCCAATGTCAAATGTCTTAACCACTTGACACAAAAAGTGAAGCCTTGTGCTTCAAAAGTCTGTCAGTTTCCATTCTGAGATGTATTTGTCTATCACACATTGCATACCAGGCTACAAATGTCCGTTTTTTATTAACAATCCCTCTCAGAAACTTGGTCACAGAAACATCTATTTCTTCTTTGTGCTCTACTTGCTAACCATCCTTTTAAAACACTTCTCTATAAACATTGGTTTATATTTTAAAAGCATTTTTTCCCTCCATTAAAAATAGATTGTGAAAGCAAGCAGGTTCCCAAGAAGAAGACATTTTACCTCGACAGACTGACAATAGCTAGTGCTAACAATTGAACAATGGATCACAAACCTTCCCATAAGGCTTAATGGCTGAAAATAAGGATGATGGAAGGGTGGGTGGGTAAAAAGGGGTTCGGAATAGGGGGAGGGGGGGGTGTTAGACTGTCAAAGTAATAGCTGTCTCCGCTGCTGAAACCTGCTTCTTGTACTCTTGTGAAAATATTCCTTAAAACACAGCATCAAACTAGACATCCCTGGAAAGGCTAAACCGGTCAACAAATGCCCCTAGAAGTCGGATGTGTTGGCTGAAAGGCCCAGATATCACAGCCATGCTGTAAACAGGCACAATGCTATAACATTTTTGGATGAACGCAGAAGAAGATGAAACTAGGCATCTGTGACCACAATGTCTTGTTGATGTCTCTTGATCCTCCTCTACACAATACTAAGGATGGAGGAGTGACAGACCACACTGTCAACTTCTGACCCAAACATTGAGCCTGAACAGACAGAAGCAGAATGATACCCTCAACTAGGTTTGAACCCAGTACAACTAGAGGTAATGACCAACACCTGACTTGTGAACCTACCAGACCCAAAATCTCCAACACTAGAGAAGACCTGGAAGGCCGACTGTACAGAGGTCACTTACCTGCAGCCAATTTCCCAGCTTTGCTACCCAGAATTCCCTTAGATTTCTGCTTATAAACCACGGGCTGCTGCTGAACGTACTGTTGCTGAGGGTAGCCTTGGTAGCCTCCTGTGGACACAATGATTGGCATTGAAATACAACTTTCATAACAGACTAATAACCTATCATATGTGTAAAATCGAGATAACACCCACGTAAGAACTATATATCTTCATAAAACATATGTTGAGAAAAAAAACTATGGTTGCCGCTTGCAGTATCTTCTTCGAGGTATGTAGAAATACCCAAAAGAGAAAAGGGATGCAGAGCAGAGGTAGACCACAATGTACCACTTTAAACAACTGTCTGTGAAGGTCAACCCTGGAAACACATTCCTGAAGAAGGGAGTGTCGTCCAAATGATGCAAATATCGGAGGGCAATTATGTCACTGACAGGAATTGTAAAAAAAGAAAAGACGAACAAACAAACACTGGCAAAGACTGCATTTAATTTATTGTGGGGCAGAAGAGACTAAAGACAGGACATTACAAATTTTGATTTCCGAGTTATCAGACAAACTTTTCTAGTTAAGAAATGTCTTTAAATTTGCATTTTAAAGTTTATTTTACAATGATTGATTTCATACAATGCAGAAGTAAAGTGTTAGAAATGAGTGATTATGTCACTATGATGACAAAGAACAGTGATGATGATGGTGACTGCCCTAATCGTATCTCACTACGATGACAAAGAACAGCGATGATCATGATGGTGGTGACTGCCCTAATCATATCTCACTAGGATGACAAAGAACAGAAATGATCATGATGGTGGTGACTGCCCTAATCATATCTCACTAGGATGACAAAGAACAGCGATGCTCATGATGGTGGTGACTGCCCCAATCATATCTCACTACGATGACAAAGAACAGCGATGCTCATGATGGTGGTGACTGCCCCAATCATATCTCACTAGGATGACAAAGAACAGCCATCATGATGATGGTGACTGCCCCAATCATATCTCACTACGATGACAAAGAACAGCCATGATGATGATGATGGTGACTGCCCCAATCATATCTCACTACGATGACAAAGAACAGCCATGATGATGATGATGGTGACTGCCCCAATCATATCTCACTACAATGACAAAGAACAGCCATGATGATGATGATGGTGACTGCCCAATCATATCTCACCCCTACCTTGTACAGGGGTAGCGTAGTACACTTGTCGGGGGTATGGAGCTGCGGATGTGAACAACAGAAGAACCAATCAAACAGAAATAGCCGACAACATGAATGCACAAGTGCCCATGCTATTAGGTTCCTCAAGGAAAAGTGGAGAGCAGCAAAAAGAATCCATCATGCATGTCATAAGAAGCAGCTAAGGAGGATTTGTATTAAATGCAACCACTAATAAGTATGAAGAACAACAGAAAATAAAGACTAGTATCTATTATGCACACCCTAAGAAGCAATTAAGGAGGATTGGCATGCAATCTTACTAACAATGAGTGTGAAGCTGACGATGTTAGGAACATATAGATTTGACGACTGACACCACTGAATTGGGTTTGATCCCATATGACTGCAGAATGGCTATATTCTCGCTAAGAACATAGTACAAAGCACTAACTCTTCAGCCCCAGTGACAATCCCCAAGGATCATTATAAACTGCACCTGTGAAGTGAATGACATGTAGGTGAAAACAAAACCCTCCGATTTTCTGAGAGCGAGGCAAGCAGCTCGACCAATTTGCCAGAGAGACCCCAATGTCAACTATCAAAGTAAACTAACAAAATGATACGGAAGTGAAATACGATACCAAGTGTCATTCAGGGAGGCAAAGAATTATAGCACTAAGCTACCTTGCATGTCATCTGTGCATGCACATTACCACCCATGCTTTTGTGTTTTTTTTTTTCTTTTCTTGATATTTATAATATGCATATTATCTTATGAATATAACATGCTTAGTGATAAAATACAGCCGAATGTAAGACAGGCCTGCGTGCCCAATTTGTGACCTTTGAAAATAAAGTTTGTTTGTTCGCTATCAAAAGCAACTTAGGAAGCTTGGTATAAAACCCAACCAACCATGAAGAATTCTAAAGACAAGAATAGAAATAATTCCATCACCCACAATGATAGGAGGCTCTTTGTTTAGAAATGTGATACACAGTCAGGATCACCAACTGACCCTTTTTCTTTCTTCTTATAGACCATACCATCTGACATTGAAGGTCATGTCTATCTAAAACCTTCTATCTAGTGTCCTATCCAGCCTCTCCATCTTGGTCTCAATCTGCCACTTTCCCCCTCTAACTTTGCCACGTCATGATGTATTTTCTCCTCACGATGTGATCAAAGAACCTAGACTGTGCCCTTCTGAGATGGGTAATCAGTTCTCTTCATGAGTTAATCCTGCCAAGAAATTATGACTTTATCAGTCCATGTTGCCATCACTAATCTACAAAACTACATCTCTGCTGCTTTCACATAATGTCTCACCAATCAGCTAACTGTCTAAAACTCATCTCTGCTGCTTTCACATAATGTCTCACCAATCAGCTGTCTAAAACTACATCTCTGCTGCTTTCACATAATGTCTCACCAATCAGCTAACTGTCTAAAACTCATCTCTGCTGCTTTCACATAATGTCTCACCAATCAGCTAATTGTCCAAAACTCATTTCTGCTGCTTTCACATAATGTCTCACCAATCAGCTAACTGTCTAAAATGCATCTCTGCTGCTTTCACATAATGTCTCACCAATCAGCTAACTGTCCAAAACTCATCTCTGCTGTTTTCACATAATGTCTCACCAATCAGCTAACTGTCCAAAACTACATCTCTGCTGCTTTCACATAATGTCTCACCAATCAGCTAACTGTCTAAAACTCCTCTCTGCTGCTTTCACATAATGTCTCACCAATCAGCTAACTGTCCAAAACTACATCTCTGCTGCTTTCACATAATGTCTCACCAATCAGCTGTCTAAAACTACATCTCTGCTGCTTTCACATAATGTCTCACCAATCAGCTGTCTAAAACTACATCTCTGCTGCTTTCACATAATGTCTCACCAATCAGCTAACTGTCCAAAACTCCTCTCTGTATAGCAGAAATGGCTCTACAGATTGTTAACTTCATTTCACCCAAGAAAATCTGCATGACTTTTGACTTCTGGGATGTTTGGATTGAGAGCATTAGAGACAGTGATAGATACTCTACAGAGAACATGAAGCTAGATGGGAATAGATAAGATGGGAATGACTTGGGCTGATTGAGGCTGGGATACTGAACAACAAGTGATGGAGTACAAGGACCAAGTCTCATAGTGGTCACATATGTCTACACCTTTCTGAGGTCACCATGGAAATAAGTTCCTAACCAGGGGTCTGGCTAACATTGTTAGGATTGACAGGTCTGCAAATAAATTTTAAAAAAGCCACATCTGTCAAAGGGTGGGCACACAAAACTCAGGTCCTTTAACAAGACCAAAGTACAGAAATGGATAAACAACCAGGACTTTCTGCTGGACTTTACAGTGTGAGTGCAAAGAAGAAGATTGAGGATATCTGCTTCATGCAGGAATAAACACAGAAGAAGGTACAGAATTAATACACAAATACAAGCATGGGCAAAATGGGGTCCAGAATGGATTAACAAACGTGTGAGAGTAGAAACCAAAAGAGCACTCTACGACACAATCTTCTTGCTAACCCTGTGCTAACCAGATGTGGACAAAGACAGAAAAAAAGAGATGAAAAATTACAACTGAAATGAGATACCCACAAAGAAGAGATAAGATCAGGAATGATGAAATCTAAAGAAGAAGAAAGAGGGCAGCGGCAGCTCTGGATTGCATTAGAAGACCACAGGTGAAATGGTTTATCCATATAATGTGGATGTCAGCAAACAGGATACCATAGAAAGAAAGCTGGCAGACAAGGCGGGAAGTGAAGAAGATGCCAAACATGCAGACAATGAACACAGGAAGTCCCTGGTAGTCCTCAGGTATGAAGCACACAAACAGGCACTTTCTGTGAATTATATTTCCCCTAGATATGCAAGGTACCAGAGGACCAAGCTGAGGTAAGATGGTTTAACCTAGGTCAGTTTTCTATTCTTAACCTATGACTGCCCAAGCAAGACCAGAGAATTTTCACACTGCTTAAAGAAACTGAAGAGCCTACCAATCAACCAATCTACTGATGTATGATGAATAGCAGAGTCCCTGGGAAACGGTTCACAATTAAACAAATGGGCACTTTCCCAGGGTTTATACTTCATCCGTACACCATATGGCATAAAATGATCATGATGAGATGATACAAACAGGCATCATATTCACAACTAAAAGCGAAGTGCTTCATTACTAAAGAATAAGGCAGCGACAACAGGTGTTGATACAAACAGGCATTGTTCAATGCAATCAATAATAATCATGCTTTCCCAGGATTTCAATCAGGACCACAGTCTGCAGGTACATTAACTACAACAACATACATATACATAGAAAAAGTGCACTAACTGCCACACTAGAACAGCATATGTGTATGTGAGTGCGCAAACATGCATGTGTGTGTGTGATGCAGCCAGCAGCATGTCTTAATATTACATCCAACATCAGGAAAAACATTCACGACTCAAGAACAAAACAGACAAAAAAATTAGAACAGTCAAATGTGAGCATGTGCATGTGTGCTCACATACACATACTAAAGAA